TCAGCAGGAGAGAGAATTTGTTAGCTCCTGTAACTAAGTAGCTTGAGGGTCTGGGGGTGTCCAGGTAGCTCACAACGAGGTCACGGAGATTTACCATCTCTCCGACTGCCTTTTCCAGCTTGGTTTTCCTCTGTTGGCAGTGTCTCTGAGTGGCGGTTCCCAGAAGCTCTAGGCTTATTTTATCCTTGAAGCAAACAATTCCAGAAGAATTCTTCTTGTTCTCATCAATTCCAACAGAAGCTCAGGGAAGGGCTTTTATTGGGTTCCCTCGGGTGTCCATCTCTGAACCATTGGCTATGGTCAGGTAAATGTAATGCTTGGACTGGCCAGGTCTTGGTCACATGACCGCACCTAGCACTGGGGCTGAAGCACTGTCCCCTCACAATGAAGGAGAATCCAGGGGAAGGGGCCGTTACCTAAAGGGGAGGGGTGTGAAAGCAGGAGCTACACCTGCCTTCCACACCTTTGAATGAGGACTTCCCTTGGTGGAGGCTCAACCGCAGGGTTGGAACAGCAGAGCCTTCTGCCTGGTTGGCAGCTTTCTCCTTGCAATGTAATTGTGATGCTAACTACCCAGAGTTAGGTCAGATTTCACAGCTTAAGGGCACAGTCCCCAACAAGAATGCCCTAAGTCAGCAGTTCTCAACCTGTGGGTCGTGACCCCTTTTGGGGCTCGAATGACCCTTTCACAGGGGTCGCTTAAGACCATCGGAAAACACATATATAAGTACCTATTGTTTCTGTGATTAATCACGATGCTTTAATTATGTTCAATTTGTAGCAATGAAATTGGGGGTCACCACAACATGAGGAACTGTATTAAAGGGCCGTGGCATTAGGAAGGTTGAGAACCACTGCCCTAAGTTAAGATAGCCTTAAGTTCAGGAGTCTCCAGGCCACCTACATTTCTGACCAACTGGCTCCAATTTGGGGGTTACCTGTAGCCCCTTGGTCCAATAATTCATTAGACAATTTAGGGGCTACCAATAGCCCCTTAGGTCCAATAATTCAATAGAACAACTCATAGAACCCAAGGCAGTGCGACACCTATGGTTACAATTTTATTATAAAGGGTGTAAATCAGTGGTTCTCAACCTTCTGGCCCTTTAAATACAGTTCCTCATGTTGTGACCCAACCATAAAATTATTTTCGTTGCTACTTCATAACTGTCATGTTGTTACTGTTATGAATCGTAATGTAAATATCTGATATGCAGGATGGTCTTAGGTGCCCCCTGTGAAAGGGTCGTTCGACCGCCAAAGGGGTCGAGACCCACAGGTTGAGAACCGCTGGTGTAAATAAAGACCATTGGAATGAAGAGTTACATAGGAAGAGGGCTGGGAGGGTTCCAAACTTTGAAGCTTCCATCTCCTCAAGATTATTACCCTTCTGGTACATCGTCTACGGTTAGCAACCAGGGAAGCTCGCTGATGCTCCTGGTATTCAGAGTTTTTATTAGGGTTTCGTTATGTGGGTGTGACTGATTGAATCATTAGCCCTGTGACTGAACTTGATCTCCCTTCTTTCCCTGACCTTCAGGAGGGACAAACTGACATCACATGACTCAGAGCACCAACCTTCTAATCACATGATTGATCTTTCTAGTATGGCTAGCCCCCAATCTAAAACTATCCAGGTGCCCACTGTAGTCACTTCATTAGCATAAATTCAGGTGTGGCCTGAGGGCCCCACCATGAACAACAAAGGTGCTTCTATTATTTAAGAAGGATTATTTGAGAACAAGGATTTAGAGGCTCTGTCCCAGGAATTGGGCATAAAAACCCAGACAATTTATTATACAACTGGAGGTCCGATGCATGAAATTCGTGCATGGGTAGGGTTCCTAGGCCTGGCCAGCGATCAGGGCTGATCAGGTTCCCCACTTCCCAGCCTCCCTGCTTCCTCCTTCCCTCGCTCCCTCAGCGCCCCATGGGCCACTGCTAGTCATCTGCCATGTTCCACGCTGCCCCCTGGTGGTCAGTTCATGTCATAGCAAGTGATTGAATTCCCGGTCGAACTCCCTAGGGGACAATTTGCATATTAGCCTTTTATTATATGGGGTAGTTTTCTATGTTGGATTCCAACTTCTTCCCAGGCTTGGATATTAACCATGGTCCCCTATTCTTCTCTGCTGCCACCACTTCTAGACCCATCAACAACTTCTGGCTGAGATTGTTAGCATCTTCCTCCCACAGCCTCATCAGAGGACCCTTCCGGGTCTCCTCCTGAACCCCACTGCTCCCTCTTTCCAGCCCCATTCTCTCTTCCTCCCAAAGCTGTAGCCTTGGAGTCCACCTGTGTCCCGTCTCTTCATTGGTAACATATGGGATGTAGATCATTTTGACTCAGCTAAGCTGGTACTTATCCCAGGAAGCTTTCTCTAGAGGACACTTTGGCTTATTTTCTTGTGGCTCACATCTGAACTTCTTTTCTTTTTGGGGGAATCTTGTACTTTATGATATGAATCGTCCTCCTGTTATAAAAGTTGAAAAAGTCAGAATCTGCTTTCTCAGCCTTTCATGCAGCTTGGATGTGGTCATGTGGCTGAGGCTTTGGCAATCAGACCTTCATGTTCTCAGAGGTAGTGATGTAGAGGCTGGGTGAAATGAGCCAGGATCAGATTTCATTGCATGTGTCTGATGACATTGTTGCGCCTTCCTCGACTTGCCAGGTTGGGCGGGTGGCTTTCTGTGTGCTCCATCTGCACCACTTTGCCTGTCGCCACCTCCATCGTTATGATGTGTATTGAGTCTTATTGTGAGTTGTATGCTTTACCCATGCTCTCGCATTGATTCCGTGGTGTTATACCCATTTTATTTTATTTTTTTACAGAGAGGAAGGGAGAGGACTAGAGAGCTAGAAACATCGATGAGAGAGAAACATTGATCGGCTGCCTCCTGCACACCACCCACTGGGGAAGTGCCCGCAACAGAGGTACATGCCCTTGACGGGAATCGAACCTGGGACCCTTTAGTCCACAGGCCGATGCTCTATCCACTGAGCCAAACTGGTTAGGGCTGTTATACCCATTTTAAAGATGAGGTATGTGGAAGTGAAGACACCTTCCAAAGTCATGTGGCTCGTGAGAGAGCACAGTTAGGATCTGACACCAGAACCTTTCTCTTAACCATCATGCTATAGGACCACTGTTAAAACCTCCTGCATAATCCTGGAGGATAGGGGCTAGGTGTCTTCTTACACCTGTGATCTCTCTCACATACTCAAGCTCAAGTAGATGACAAGGTCTAAGCTGGCTCAAACACTCCATGACCATCATGAGCTGCCCTCCCACCTCCCACCCACGAAGTGGCACCCCTTCCTCCCTCAACTCCATTCACCCAGTTGCCACCTCGGGACTTGTCTTCCACTTAACAGGAATCATTCTCCTCCTTCACACACCTGTTCCCATGAACACCTTCTTTAAGTCCATGTCAAAATGCCCCAATAAGTCAGCATTTTGTTTTTTTCCATCTCTGTTTCGCTTTTGGGACTTTGGATGTGAATGTGCCTCATGAAGCGCCTTAGGATGGCTCATTGTCCTCTGACCTCCCCATTTTTTGGTGAGAAGAATTTTACATCTTTGGGAAGGTGTTGGCATAGTTAATTTTGCCATTTGGAAGATTTAAATGGTTTTAAAAATGTATTATGACTGAATAACTGGCTCTGACCTCCACCAAAAGATGACCAATTTGAGTCCCAAGACAAAAGCCTCTAAAATAAGTATTTCTCCCTGCGGCTTTTCTTTGAGGCTGGGATCTGGGAGGTGATGTAGTGCCTCCCCATAGTCCCTAATCTACTTTAGCCATAGAAGAGCCTTTGTTTGAATAAGTGTTCCTTGCCTAACCAAAGTAGGCCTTTTGCTGCTGGTAATGTTTGCTGCCTGCCTTTTCAGCAGGTTATATTTTGCAGGCAAGCATGATGGAAGCATAATACTAACATGAACCACTAGGTGGTGCTGCAGCTCTGAGAAATAGCCTTGGAAAGTGGCAAGCAGGAGGGTGGGGTAAGTCCGGTGATTTCAGCATCTCCCCTGTGCTAGACAGACAGACACCCATTCTAGACTTGGCTCTGCCACGTACTGCCTATGTGACTGTTGGCAGATGACCTTAGGTTCTGGTGTCCTTACTTGCGAAATGGCGATGATAACAAAGCCTACCTCAGAGGGATGTTCTGAGCGTCGCATATGATGCTGCTGGAGTATTATCTAATTTGCAAACTGCGGATTGCTGTGCAAATCGAAGTTAATATGGTGCCAGGAAGCCCCGCCATTAGAGCGATCCCTTGGGAGTGATTCCAAAAGCAAGATAGCTTTTGTGACCTCCTTGTCTCATACAGCGAGGGCTGGGGGTCAGTAGGGGTAGGGAGGGAATGCAGAGGCAGCTGAACATGATTGTAAATGATATTATGAGGCCATAATATCACCCAGCATGGAGCCCATTGAATAGCAAAAGCTCGTTAGTATCTGAATACCACACCCAGATTCCAGCTCCAAATCTTTCCCAGCCAGACATCAAACATTCAGCTCAATTTTATTATCTGGAATTTGAGGATGCAGTACAGGAATCTGGAGAAGGGAGTGGTAGAGTCCGGCCGGGCCAGTGAGGAACAGAGACTGGAAGGTTGGACTGGGGTGTGAGGGTAAGAGGAGTTTCTACGTGGGAGTAGCTCCCTTTCTGCTGCCAGAAGTCAGTCTCCAGGTGGCCCTACTAGATCATGAGCATCCAGAACAGGCAGAAGCAGGAACACAGTGTAGACTAGCCTCCTCCACCGGGACAGCTGGCCGGCCCGGCCCCCACTATGTCCGGGCGGTCTGGGGCCGGACGGGGATGCTGATCCGGCTCTGCAGCCAGTTGACGTAGTCCTCTTGAGGCATGTGGATGATGTGTTCTCGCACAAACTGCGGGGCGAATACAGCGGCAGCCTCAGATTTGGTCTGAAAGCTAGATTCCTTGGCCTCCCCTCCCCCCAAATATCCTGAAATATTTGTGATTGAGGGTGGTGGTCCAGGATGCCTCCAACCATTCAGGCATTCGGAATGCCTGCAGCATCGTGCTGGGTGGTTCCTTCTAGAAAAAGATCCCTTTCTAGGGTCCTGGTTCAAACCGCAGGCTCATTTTAAGCCTTTTCTGTTGACCCTGAGAAATTTAGGGAGATCAGGAAAACGCAGCTGTCTGCATGTTTCTTTCTTTTCTACTCCTTGATATCTTTTTAAAAAAGTAATGTGCCCTTAAACTTATTTTGGTTCATAAACCCCTTTGAGAGTTGATGACAGCTGTGGGCTTGCTTCCAGGAAAGGGTTAAGACACAGAATGTAGTTTCAAATAGATTCTAGGTTAAGACACCCACATCCAGGTTACTGGAAGTTCTGTGAGCTTCGCACTGGGAGAGGAACATGCTGAGTTTCACTAGCTGGGGCCATGCACTCGCCTCGGAGAATGGGGGGAGCCTCCACACCCCCCCTCCTCTTGCCCATTCAGAGATGGCCCCATAACTGGCAGGGTAAAGATAGACCCCATAACTGGCAAGCGGAGATTGTACAGTTGCTCTGGAGTTGGCTTTGGACTAGCAGCCATTCCTGAAGGTCCCCTTGCTTGCTTGCTTTCACCCCCACTGACTGCCTGCAAGTTCCTCCAACAGTTCACATTCTGCGCTGGGGTCTTTGCATGTGGTCTTCCCTCTGTCTGACCTGTCCATCCCCCTACTCTTCTTAGTGCTGTCTTTTCATCATTCAAGTCTTGGCTTAAAACTCACCTTCCCCAGTTGCTCTGATAGGCTAAGATAGGTCCTCTCTACCTTGACCTTGAATGAGTGCTCCTCAAACTTTAAAAAATCACCCACGGGACTCATTGAAATGCAGACTCTGAATTGGCAGCTGTGGTTTGGCTAAGATTGTACATTGCCGAGAAGCTCCCAGGCGAGGTCCATGCTGTTGGTCCGTGGGCCACAGTTTTAGTAGCCAGATCCAGAGGGCTCCTCGTTATGACTGCCAGTTATTTTATTCCCTTGTCCATTTATTTCTGTCTCTCCAAGGCCTCCAGTTTCTCCCGGGGGAGGGGGGAGGGGAACCATTTACAAAGAACATAATGTCCCCTGGAGTTGAACCACCAAGGCCATGTGACAACCCCTTTTCTACCATATCAGTGGTTGGCAAACTCATTAGTCAACAGAGCCAAATATCAACAGGACTTCTTCAAAATAGACTTGCCAGGCCAAAAACCAACTTCTGCGCATGGGCCACGAAGTTTCGATCGCACTGTACGCGCGCCCGCACATGGTATTTTGTGGAAGAGCCACACTCAAGGGGCCAAAGAGCCACATGTGGCTCGCGAGCTGCAGTTTGCCGACCACGGTTAATGATAAGCTCCCAGAAGGCAGAGATCTCTGTCCTTTACGTTGTGTTCCCAGCACTCACATGGTGCCTGGGTGTTGAGAGGTGGTGGGATGAGGGCCCCGGGCACATGGGGAGGGGAAAGGATGTGGCAGTTACCTCGATAGCCACAGCGACGTCTGGGGAGCACAGTTCCCAGGTCCTTAGATCCTGTAGCACTTTCAGGAGGACGTGGGGCCTGATCCTCAGGTCCAGGTTTTCCCCGAACTTCTGCAGTTTTGCCAGGATCTTTTTGGCAGGGCGGAAATTCTTCAGATCTTCGGGGAGTTTGGACAGAAGATCAAAGTACCTTGGATTTCAAGAAGAGAGGGCACCTCAGGTCCTCCATCTCTCTCTGCCTGTCATGCGATGCCTCCAGGGCAGCATTAGTCTTTATCTGCGGGACTTTCCTCCACCCTAAATGTAAGGGGCCTGCAGATCGGACACATCTTTAATTTTTAAGGGCAGTAAAAGCTGGAGCACGATTTGCATCTCATTAGAAAAACAAATTAGGGATATACTTTAAAGAGATGCATTTATTATTTTTCTAGAAAAGCTGGCAAGAAAGGAAAGGTAACTGAGGTTTTGAAGTGTCACTTTTGAGAGTTAATGGGGCCAGGGAGGACATGGACTCATCTGTGGGGTAGTCTCCAGAGGGCAGGAGGCCCTCACACACCAGCTGGAGGAGGAGGAGGAAAGACAGGGGTGTGGGGATGGGGGAGGAAGATGGGGAGGGAGATAAAGAGGGGAGGGAGTGTGTGCATGTCCCATGTCTCCGTATGGAGAAGCCCAGGCCACAGCTCTGTGTATTTCAGTGGGTTTTGTGAACCTTTCTGATGCTACTGTGTGGAGTACAAGGGTCCTTTGCTAATCCATGGTGGGAACAAGGTGGATTCTAGCCCCGAGAGGGGTCAGGTGTGATCAGGGTTTAAGAGGGTCTTTTTAAAAGAGGGCAGTGGTGACATCTCTTTAAAAAGTCCCCTGCCCTGATATATATGTATCCATTGTGGAAAAATTTGAAGAAGAAATTGATCACCATACATTTTGGGCTCTTCGTACGTCCTGTTATATATTTTATGATATATATTTATGCCTCTTTGTAAGCTTCCGTTCACATTATTAAAATCACGGAAGGGATTCGGGGTACATTTTTAGACTTTCTCATCTTACTCTTAGAGCTTGATTTACTCACCCTGCCAGGATTAGGTTCATAAAATTACAGTTCATCCGACTCCAGTTCCGTGCTGCAGATGAGCATGGAGACTGGGGTCAGGCAGGGCCTTGAATCCTAACACTTCCTTGTTCGCACAGTGAGGGTTGATGTGCACCCCTCAGCATTTTTGTGGGGGATACAATGGATAATATCTGAACATTGCTCAGGGTGGAGTCCGCCACCCAGTCATCACTCAATTCCTGTGGTTTTTTGTTATACGTATCACCCCTGGGCACAGCATTCCTGGGACATGCCTGCCTGGTTCTGTAGCTGTAAGGGGTTAGGTTACTTGGGGGACATAGTGATCACCCCGAAGACCTCTGACTCTGTGGAAGTTTTCAGGTTGGTTTGCCTCATCTGCCGCTCCCATAGGGCCGGTGAGCTAGTCCCTGTTTGCAAGTCTGAATCAAACAGAAGATAAACGTGGAGAGCAGAGCTGGTCGGAGTGTCTGTGCTTTGGGAACTGAAGGGCCCTTGCCTGACTGCTCTGGAGACAGCCTGTTTGGGGGGTCCTGTTGCTGGCCAAGGGCAGCTTTGGGGTGATGCCTCTCCATGTTGTGAGAGCTAATGGGATCAAATGGGATTTTGTAACAGCGGCCCTCCCTTCACCCCCTTCAAGGACCGTCTTATCTGGCTCCCAGGGTATTTACCAGTGGTCTGCAATTTCTTCTGCGTCCCCTTTTACCATGGACACTTTATGTCTCATTTTTGCTATGTCCTTTTGAAAATTCGAGACGAGGACAAAAGAATGGAACTTCTGGAGAATGCTCTCTTCCTGGCGCCTGCATCACAGGTTGTGTGAGAAAGAGGAAGAAGAGTCAGAGCCCTGCCTCCTTCAACCATCCTCCTGCCCCTTGAGGTCGGACTCAGACACTTTTTCCTGCGTGAGGTTCTTAACCCTCCCAGCCACTATCCAATTTACTATCTGGCTTTGGCTACAAGATGACACACCTCTCTCCAAGGTCCTGAAATGCTCTTGCTACAGTCAGTAATCTTTTTTTTTTTAAAATCAGCCTTCATTCTCTCCCTACTTTTGATTGTATTTGCACAGCTTTCTCATCTGTAAAATGAAGGATAATAATGGTTCCTAGCTCTCAGAGGCGAGGATTACAGAATACAATGTGTGTAAAGTGCTGGTGCCTGCCAGTCACACAGTGGGCGTTTACCTCATGCTGTTTTCTCTCTTATCCACACCCCTTATCATTTTGTGCATAGGTCCTATCTCTCCGAAGAGACTTTGTAAATATAACCATGCCATTCACCTTATATGCATTTGGATAGCTTCCCATTTTACTCAGAATAAAGTCCTCTGAGTAACTTGCTCTCTGAGGCTCTGGATTCTTCAGCCCCTACAACAGTTTCCAGCTTTATCCCTACCCTTCCCATCTCTTCTCTGCCAGAATTTTATGCTTTGGTTCCTGATCAAAGACTGAGATAATGTTCAGCCTCCACAGCTGAACTGCTAAGGCCTTTTATGATCTGGCCTCTGTTTTCTCTGATGACCTTGTAAGCAACCACAACCAAGTCCCAGGCACACCTGGCTACGGGTAGTTCCTGACCCACTGGGCCCTCTAGCCTCTGGGACTTTGCTGTTCTTTCTCTGGAACTCCCTGCCTTCCTCCTTTTCCCGTGTGTCTCTCTGGGTTTGAATGCCACCTTTACTGCTTAACTCCCAGGTGACCTTTGACAAGAGACATCTCTGAGCCCACTTTTCTCATCTACAAAATGGGTCTAATAATAGTACCTACCCCGTAGGATTGTTGTGAGGACTTAGTGATAAATACACACAAGGCTCTTACACCACGACTGCTACACAGTAAGTGCCCTGGAAATATTACCTGACTTTATTAAGCTGAAAATAGTGTTTCCTCCAGGACGACCTTGCTGATTGCTGTTGCAAGCTAGGAAGGACACCCTCTTCCCGTGTTCCCTTAGCCCCCTGCTCACTTCCCTGTTGGCCCTCATCACTTTGTGTGGTAATTGCCTGTTTGTTTTTCTGTCTCCCTCATTAGAATGGGACTCCCAGAAGGCAGGAATCAATCACCTCTAATCCCATGGCCCAGAGAAGCCAGTCCATCCAGGCTGAGAGGGCAAAGGGTCACCATGCAACCTTTGTTGAATGGACAAGTTCATTGGAGTGAATGGTCACGGCGGTCAAGGAGTAGGCTGGGGTGGGAGGCAGTTACTGGGTTGTCAGAATAAAAAAGTTTCCAGTGGCCTCCTGGTGCTCTTAAAATCCAGTTCCAAGTTTTAATGATGACATTTGTGGCTGGCTGTGCATGATGCAGCTGTCACCTGCCGCTTCCCTGTCCTCTTCAAACTTTCTATGTCCCTTTCAGCCTCAGGACTTTGTATGCACCTTCCTGCTGCCTGGAATGTCCATCTACCCTCTCACCACCCCACCAGCTCTTCCTTATCCTGAGTGAGGTCTTCCTGGATCACCTGACCTCAATGAAGTCGCCACGGTCTCTCCCTCTCTCAAAGCACCTGTCCTTTCCCTGTATAATAATGATTATAGTTTGTACCTATATGTTTATTAATTCAGTTAGTTTGTTTCTGCCCGTATTTCCCGGGAGAGACGATAAACTCTCTGAGGGCAGAGAATGCATCCCTCCTGTACCCTGCTGCAGCCTCAGCACCAGCACACGGCATCGTGTGGGCACATAGTAGGTGTCAGACGAATGTCCTTTGAGTGAGTGCATCTGCATGTGCCCTTACTTCATGAGGATTTCTATCTTGTCCTGCAGACAGAAGCCGGCCTCCTGGGCCACGTTGTAGAACTTGGCCCTCATGGTGGTACACACACCGGTCGTGCAGTGGATGAGGTCATGGTAGGTGCGGCTGTGGACACAGACAAGAGGGGTTTGGGGGATCAGGGCCAACAGACAGACCCATGAAGCTGGCCTCTCTGGGCCCCACAGTGCTTTGCAGTGGGGATTCCATGCACCCACCGGGGCTCTCCGCCCGCCCCTGGAGCCTCCCCAGCATCACCGTGGATGTAGGAAGGACAGATCTTCCCAACAGTATCAGGCTGGTGGTGGCGGCCTCATGAAATGAGCCCACAGCGAGACATCTGGCCACTTGAGCCCAGCAAATGTTAAGGACCTTGAGATGAGGATGGAATTTGGAGCGGGGAGATCCAGGTTCAAACTCCAGTGCCACGCTTCTTAGCTGCGTGGGCTGGGCAGGACATTTCATGGGCCAGGTGTCAGTCTGCTTCTCTGTAGTATGGGATAATGTTGCCACCTCATAGGATTGCTTTTGAGGAATAAGCAAGATAGTGAATACGGGATGCTTTTCCCAGGGCCTGGCACAGGGGACGAATTTGTTGCCATTGCTTGTGTTGCTTGGCATCTTGACCTTGAGCCCCTTGCCCTGGGAGCCCCTGGTCCTTCAGCCGTGTCTATGGCTTCTGGGGGCCTGGTCCACACTGGGTTGGTTCCCCTGGGAAGATGGAGGGTGTGGTCACCACAATCCCTCTTGCCCACCTGGCTTACCTTTTAGACTTCTTCTGGATCGGTTGGCTGTGGGTTTCTCCACTTGTACTGCTGGACCTGTCACTGAAACACAGAGGGACGCTTTCAAGTTGCCTGTAGCCTGCTTTTTACGCGAAGGGACGTTTCGGGTCCCCTCGACACCTGCTGACCTCCAGGACCCAGGTCAGGGAGTGGTTCCAGTCACGACACAGGCTATCAAACTCAGTGTGTGTTTTCCCCACCTCTTTGCCTTTGCTCATCCCATACCCTGCCTGGAGCATCCTTGTTTCCTCTCTCCCTACTCAGCTCCCGCAGTGTTTCGTGGTCTCCAGCAGGCTCTGCTTGCTCTGACTCCCCTGGTCCCACGTTACCTTCTGTCTGCCTGGTGGCAGGATGGTGTATTTTCTGGATCCCAGTTTCTTTTGAATGAAATGGGTCTCCAACTGCAGGATAAGTTCATTGTGGACCCTTCTGTCCTCCCGTCTACACCCATGAGCTCTTAACCCGGGGCCGAGGGCAGACTTGGTGAAGGGATGGTTGAGTCCTCCTCGTCATGTTGTCCTGGGTGTTCCTGGGTGTTCCTGACCCGAGACCGCCTCTTCATTTAAGGATTCTCTCCTCTAAATTGGTCCCTTGGACCGAATATCCTCTTCACTTGACTTTGGAGGCAGACAGAACTGGGTGCAGAGCCCAGCTCTGGTCTGTGGGCAAGGAACTCGCTCCGAATGTCAGTTTCCTCATCTGTGCCCAGTCAACTCCTCGTACCATCTGCCCCTTTTTTACGTGGGAGCTGGTTTAATTCTTTGGCTGCGTCTTCCTGTGACTTTGCCTGGCTGGGGCTCCTGGGGAGTGGGAGAAGCTCCCTTGCTCAAGCCCATCCCTCCTCTATACCTTCTCCCAGGTCCTCCTTTGGTGACCCAGGCCTTCAGCTCCAGGGTCTAGCACCTTCTCCCTCATCCTGTCTTCCTTTGTTTATTCCAAACGCCTCAAAAATGGACTTGACTGCTCTGTCTGTGTGGTTCTAGAGGGCAAGAATTTCTCATATCCCTCTGATATGTGACTAATCCTTTCCTTTTGTCCTTGTGGCCTCTGGGACTCCTTTAAGGAGGCAGGCCTGGCGTTCTCCCAGACCCCTCTCCATAGGAAAGGTCCTGGCCTTTTCTGCTTTTCCCAGAGGCTCATGGGCCTGGGCCTAGAGGTCTTAGGCCTGGCAGGTGGTGGAGCAAATGCTCCACTCAACGAAGGCAGAGCCCCAGTAACAGTACCCAGAAGGCCCTGTGTTGGATTCCACCAGCTGCCTGAACCCTCCAGATGAATTATTTGGGGAAATGTGCTGGCTGTGACCTTCCTCTTGTAGATGATGTTCTTTTCTAGCAGTGTTATTAGCTGTGATAAACAAAGACACACACAGAAACACAAGCAACAAAAGATCCTTTTGCCTGCCTCGCTCTCCTTTCCCTTGTCTCTCACCGAGTTTCCGCCATCCTGGTCTTTGCTCACTGCCTCTAAGCTGCTCCCTGTCTCAGGCCCTTTGCACATGCTTTCCCCTCTGCTTGGAACACCATCCCCACCTTTCCCAGCCACTCAAGCATAACAAGCTCAGCATGTTAAATGAGGCATGTGGCCCACCGCCACAACTTTGACATGCTTGTGTAGTTCTGATCTCAGCTTAAACGTCAAAGTCCATCTTGGTTAAGACCCTGGTGCTCAACGTTCAGCCATAGTCATGATTGCAGGGCTGACTCTGGGGGGTGATTTGATAAATGCACGACTGTCCCATTTATCAAATGGGACCAGCGATTCCTACCCATGGACAGGATTCAAAGAGTCCATAAATGCGGATGGAAAAAAAGTCACACCTTTATTTTAACTAGCCATGCGCAGGAATGGAAATCACAGGCATTTGTACATCATATGGCAATTGTGGAGGC